TCTAGGTGTTTTATTTCCAAAGATGCAGAGCCTTCTGCAAAGTGCACTGTGTACTTGGCACTTGTAGTGATCTCAGTGTCCTCCTTAAACCAAGAGATGGTCATTGGAAGAGAGCCTGAAATTTTGCAGTCTAAGTGGCATGAGGTACTAATGACACTGTCAATATTCTTCAGTGGTTTAGTAAAGAAGGGAGGGAGAGTGCGATCTGTTGAGAGTGAAAAAAAATGACAGAAACAAACACGTGAGCAAAACAGGCATGCTATTCTGCTTCTGGACCAGAGCAGAGAGACACAGCTCTTTGCAGAGTCAGTACCAACCTAGCACAGTGAAGCTGGTAGTACAAGAGTTGATGCCCACATCATTGGATATCTCAAAGGTGTATTCGCCACTGTCCTGCATTTCAGTGGCATAAAACTTGAGCTGGGCAATGTTATTTTTGAAACTGATTCTGTATTTTTTGCTGGCAGGTAGTGGCTTTCCATCTTTGAACCATTTGGGTTTTAGCTCTGGAGTGCCTGTGACAGTATACTCCAAAATAGCTGGTTCCCCTGCTGTAACCTGGATTATTTCGGCTTTTTCAATTATTTTGGCGGGTTCTACAACAGAATTAAACAGTTGGTGTTAAGGATGAAAGGAAATTGCTCTTCCTCTCAGGTGGGAGACAATACAGGGATCACAGCACTTCTCCACTGACCTTTCACTACTAGTTCACCAAAGCAGGACTGACTTCCTGCATCATTCTCAGCCACGCAGGTGTATTTGCCACCAGAGCTCAGCTGGACACCAGCAATTTGCAGTGTTGCTAGACCATGATCAAATGTCACTCTCACATTGTTATCATCTTTAATAATGTCTTTGCCCTTCATCCACGTCACAGAAATAGGCTCTGACCCTTTCACAACGGCCTGTAATGTAATACTATCTCCAGCCAGAGCTGTCACATTTTCAATTTTCTTCACAAAAGATGGTGGTTCTGGTCCAAAGAAGAAAGACAAGAAAAAATACTCATCTGCTACTACATCATTCCATGAAATCTTCTACTTAGAGACACTTTTATAAGACAGTATGTGCAGTACATCATGCAATTCAGCAAAAGAGCAGGTAAGGAGAAGAGCTGCGTTCTCCAGCTGGGAGACAATGCATGGCCATTTAAGCTCAGTGTCCTTCAAATTCATAGGTTTGACGCCAGATAAGAGTTAAGATACATGCAGAATTTTAAGAGAAGAAGATAGTCTCCCTCCCCACTCTTCCCCAGCCACCCACAAGTCCAAAGAAAAGACATTTTAAGAAATAAGAGGTTTTGGCCAATCACTTCAGTAAGTGGAGTTTTCTCTCTCCTACTGACCTTTCAAGATGTATGTTGCACTGCATAAGCACTTTCCGACTTCATTAGCTATCACACACTCATATTCACCGACATCTGCACTATTAAAGGAGGACACCTCCAGAGAAATAACAGCTTTCTGAGAGGTCAACCTGTATTTCTTACTACTGCGAATCTGTTTCTTGTCTTTGTACCAGCTAATCTCAAATGGTCCAGTGCCAGCAACCTCACACTGAAGAACGGGGTTTGTTCCCTTCACTACCTCTGCAGGTTCAAGTGTTCGGATGAAAGACGGAGGCTCTATAAAAGCAGCAAGAAAGAATTAGCCAAAACAAAAAGAAGGGAAGGTTTTTCTCAAGAATATGACTGGCAGCAACAAGAAGGACACACCTTTGACAATCACTTCAGTGGCGCAGCTGTCACTTCCAACCTCATTTACAGCTTCACATGAGTAGGTCCCACTGTCATCAACCTTCATCTCCAAAATATCTAACACAGCCACAGAATTGACAAAGGACATCCTGTGTGTGTTACTTTCATGGATTTCCTTATTGTTCTTGAACCAAGTAACCTGGATTTCAGGAGACCCCTTGATTTTGCATTGAAGACGCGCAGAGTCACCTGGGGTCAGTAAGTAAGACGGATCGACCTTCTTCACAAAGGATGGTGGTTCTAAAAATGGGAAGAAAAGGGAAGAGATGGGGAAAAAGGGCAGGAAAGGGTAAAGGGAAACAAAAAAGAAGGGGAAAAGGAAAGAAGGCTGAAATACAAAGCTTTGAAGGTTGGTTCCTAGAGCAAGAACAAAATATTACTCCACAAGAGATCAGCATAATTTCTGCTTGAGCTGCATTTCCTGCAGTTTTGCTTGTCCTCTGTCCATCTCTCCCCTGCATGCAGGAGCAATTCTTGGATCATCTGGTGAAAGAAATATTGAAGTAACACACAGTGCACTGGATGGCAGCAGGGGATGAGTTAGGGGGGAATGGACTGGGTGGAAGGTCTGAGAAGAATTCACAGCATAATTTCAGCCCAAAGAGGTATTTTTCCTGCAAAATAAGAAATGGGGAGCCCAAGAAGAAGAAAGATAAAGGGGCCATAGAACTATCTTACCTCTGATGGTGACGCTGGCAGAAGAGGAGCTGCTTCCTGCCTCATTTGAAGCAGTGCACACATAATGGCCTGAATCCTTGAGCTTAGCCAGAGGAATCTCAAGTGAGGCTATTTTGTCTTCAAAGTAAATCTTATAATCTTTTCCTGGAGGAATTTTGTTTCCATCCTTTGTCCACTCTACAGTTACTTTCCTGTCTTCATCTACCTGACATTCAAGATGTATTTTTTTATTAACTGCTGACTGCACTGACTGCAAAACTTTAATGAAGTGGGGCTTGTCTATAATGACCATTTCAGCCTGGCAAATATCAGCCCCAAACTTGTTGGAAGCTTTGCAAGTGTAAACCCCTCTGTCACTGGGGGTGAGAAGGGAAATTTCTAAAACATGTTTATTTTCCACTTTGGAGATCTTATGGTGGTCTGAAGGTGAGATGGTCATGCCATCTTTTTGCCAGGTGACGTCGATGACTGGAGTGCCCGAAACAGTACACAGGAATTTGGCACTTTTGCCCACAAAAGTAGTGACAGATTCAGGTCTGGTAAGAAACGTTGGCGGAAATGCTTCTGCAAAACAAAGGGGTTTAATGTTATTCAGAGGTGAGGAACAGAGCTTATGGTCTTTCTTCACATTTGCCGGGGACAGAGAGCATTAGAGGCCAGCTTGTCACTGGACACTCTTAATCAAAAGTAACCAGCAGTGAAGGAGATAAGAGATGCTAAAGATGATAAAATTTGGCTTTTGGCTTTGCACTTCTTTGGTCCATATACTGCTCCAGAGCTTGCAGGCATTTTGAGTCTCTGGAGCAATATATGAACTAAGGGAAAATTAACCAAAAGCCAGAAATTCCTCCCCCAAGACTGACAGGTTTGCGCACCACTCTATCAAGATGGGTAAGTTTGCATGCATTTCACAGTTCTTGCACCTTTTGTTAATCTCTAGCAGCTAGCATTTGCACTTATCAAAGACCACATAAAGGCTCCTCCCACAAAGAGAAAAGTCATAGTAAAAAAATTATCATACACTAAAAGCCCGAAAGATAGTGAGGTTTTTTGCTTGAAGAAAAAAATAATTGTATAGCTCTCAAGGGACAAAAAGTTTGAAAATTGAAACCCATTAATCATCTTTTGTTTATTTAAGAAGATCTATTTTCCCAATAACGCAGAGTTCCCTTTTGGTCACGGCACAAAGATGTGCAGGTATGTGGACCTGCATAGCCTGAAGTATAGTTGTAGTCGCGAGTATAGTTGCAGGATAAACACGGGATGCTAGGATAATCACACTAATCAGTGACTATTACACCAAAGAAATCAGATATAAAAGTGTGTTTCTTGTTGTCTGGAAGTTAAATAAGCCTTCTTCAAGAATATATTCACAAAGCAATCCCATTCTGTTGACAATCTAGTTCCTCCTGCTCTCTTTCCCCCTTCTTTTTCCCCTCTGAAAATTTTCACACTGATTCCTTTTTTCTACGTACAGAAAGCACCTAAAAGCAGCATTCTCAAAAGTTATTCCTTCTCTATGTTTGCACCTACCAAAATCAGGCATGAATTATTTATTATAATGGCAATCAAGAGCCCTACCAAAAACATGTGTAAGTACAGCAGTGAAAGCGTTACAATATACCAAGATATTTTACAAAGGGGAACTGTTTGGAAGTCTGCACTTACCAGTTACTGTTAAGACAGCTGTAGAGCTTACACTGCCATGCTGGTTGGAAGCCTTACAGCTATATTCTCCACAGTCAACAACTTGAGGCCTAGGGATCTCCAGTATGGAGAGGTAGTTGGAGGTGCGAATAGAGTATTTGTCCCCATCATATATCTCCCGTCCGGCTTTGTACCACTGGAACTTGACATTGGGAGCCATCTCTACTTCACAGGTAAACTTGGCCACATGATTTACAGCCACCTCCAGAGATTCGAGCCTTCTCCTCAGAATTGGTGCAACTGAAATGAGAAGCAGAGAGTAACTCAAAACCCTGCCTGCTGACATTCTGAAAAATAACAGTGAAATCACTGACTGAAAAAAGGAAAAGGAAAGGTGACATACTTGCAATTGGTATAAAGTGACTGTAAAAGAAAAATTTCTGTAAGAAATGAAAGCAGTACTAGACTCAGTGGACAGACAGTCTTATGGTGCATAATGCCATCAGGAAACACTGTGGTGATACTGAAAAAACAAAGTGAAATAGAAATGTACAATAGCAATGGGGTATAACCATATAGTACACTATCCTGGAGTTATGACAAATTGTGGTGAATCTGTGCAATGACTCTAAGAAGTGAGAGAGGGTGCAGCAGTGATTAAAATGGTAAGAGCAGGTCCACTTTCCAGGCAACAATGGGGAAAGTGGTTGGGATTGAGATACATCTTGTCCTGACCATGCTTGTGCAATGAAGCAGCAAGTTCCTGACCAAAGACTGGGGTAACGGAAGTGAGAGACTTTGCAATGTGCTAAAAGGAGACCATCAATCCAGAGAGTAAAGGGGACCTCTGATTAGTGGCATGATGGAATTAATATTGTATCTGCATCTAAAGATACAGACACATAGTAGGGGAGGTTCATTAGTAAAGCAGTGTATTAAAAAGGCAGTATTTTATTCCCATAATCCAACCTCTTTTAACAACTGTGAGTTTTGCTGCTGATGCTCTTTTTCCACCTTGATTCAGTGCCTCACACGTGTACTCTCCTTGGTGAATCTCCCCGTACACTTTGCTTATTACTAGTGTGTACGTGTCCTGATCTTGCAAACACTTGAATTTGTTGCCTGAAGATACCAGTTTACCCTCAAAGTACCAGTTCACCTCTCTGACATTTGTTATGACAGACACCAGTCTGACACTCTCCTCTTCCTCCACAACAGTGTCAACCAGTTTGCTGTGTATGATGGGATAACTCTCTTTGACCAATTCATCCTCTACCTTCCCAGCTCTAGTTTCCAGACCCTCTCTGCCCTCTTCCTCACATATTTCTTCCCTTTTCTCCATTCTTTTCAGTATTTCTGTGGGCATCTCAATGGGAAGACCTGTGGAGGCTACATCAGTAGTGGCTGCAGGTGCATCCACATCCTTGATTTGACCATGCCCAGTCACAGTGTTGATTAGTTGTGCAGACAAAGGTTGCTCCAGTGGTATTTCTGACTCCATAGTCCTGTTGGCCTGCTGGGGCTCCAGCTCAAAGGTTTCATCACAGGATTTTCCTGAGAGAAGCAGACTGGGATAGACTGGCAATGCTTTGGATTTTTCATCTGTCAAGAGATGTTTATCCTCACAAAGAAGAGAATAGAAAGCCTCCTTCAAGACCATTTTCTGGTCAGCTGTCTGAATGCTGACTTCTCCCAGGGAGACTGGAATTTCTATGGGACTGCTTCCTCCTGCAGTCACAACATAGGTGCACAAGGTATGTTTATTCTCCTTGGTGATATTTATTGTCTGTACTTGAATGTTTGCTTTATCAGCCAACCATTCTGAAAACAAGAGGTTTTCCTCACTTACCACTGCAGCTATCAGTGCATTTCTAATTTGAGACTTTATGTCTAAGTTGCAGCACCCAGGAACCAGAGCAGTGAGCTGATTCTCTTTGTTGAGGACTTTGCTTGGCTGCAGCTGGTAAGAGTACATTGTTTCATGGGGTTGTCTCTCTGCCCTTTTCCACTGCCTAAGCTCCTTCTCCAGGGTCTGGTTTTCTTCCAGCAGCAAGGGAAATCTCACAGCCCATCCCTCATGTACTCTTGCAGCAAAATCTTCCTCTGCTGTTTCCAGGGAAGAAATGTTCTCTAGGGGGACAGTTTGGTCCTCAGTGAAGGCCAATTCAGAGGGGAATCTGGGTTCAGCATTCAGCTCACCTTGTGTTGCCTGAAAGCCCTCAAGGACCTGGATTTGGTCACTGTCTATGGTAGAGCTCTTCATGGTGCTTGACACTTGTAGAAGGGCTGGGGCAGCCTCTGTCCTCAGAGCAGCCAATTGCTCTGCTGCCTTGGGGATGATTTTCTCTTTGGACAAGTGTATATCTGCAGCTACAGTCCCAAGGCAGCCTGGCAGTTGTGTCTCCTTTGCTGCTGCAGGCACTATGCCCTGGGGGCCAGCAGCAAGGGTTTGCAGGGACTCTGCCAGAAGCCCACTGCACTCTTGTGTTGTGGCCACCTGGGTGAGCATCTCTTCAACACTCTGCACAGCCAGACAGATTCGTGGCAGGCCAGGCAAGACATCCTCCCTGGGCAGCATGTGCACCACCTGGCTCATCTGGAGCTGAAGGAGTGCTGGAGGCTCCCTTATTGTCTCAAAACTGAGTGCTCCTTCCATGGCAGGAACCTCACCAGTCTTCTCGTAAAAGTGGGGGCTTTGGTCCTCTGCCACTGCAGAATGCTGCAAGGCTGGGCTCTGCCTGCACACAGCATGCTCCTCAGGCAGCACGAGGAGCTCAGCAGTGCATGTGGCCTCACCCAGGGCACTCACCGCCCTGCACGTGTAGAGCCCTGTGTCCTCCTCCATGCAATCCCACACTGTCAAGGAGCCTGAGCCATCAGGGTGGTGAGCAACACAATGATGCCAGTCAGAGAAGAGCTGCTCACTCCCTTTGAACCACATCACATTCGGGCACGGCTTTCCTGTCACAGTGTACTCAAAGACTGCGGTGAAGCCTGGTGCACATCGCATGCTGTCTGGCTCCTTGACAAAGCAAGGAAACCCTGGTATCCACTGCTGCACGTGGAGGTGGGCACTGCAAGTGGTCTCACCGTGTACATTTCTGGCCACACATGTGTACTCACCATCATCCTGCACACCCACGTATGGGAGGATGAGGCTGTGATCATTGCCAGCAAACACTAACTTACAGTCTGTGGATGAGGTTAGCTTCACATTGTTGAAAAACCACTGGATTTTGGGTGTGGGGCTGCCAGTAACAGTTACAGATAGCCTAGCTACATCTCCCTGCCGGACTTCACCATCTGAGATCTGTTTGAGGAAAACAGGGGCTTTGCCCTCCTCCTCCATTTTCATCTTTGCCTTGCTGAAATAAACTGGTTTTCCAGGCTCAAATTCAAGTGTTTTCTCTCTATCAGGCAACTGAAGGCCACTGCCGTAGCCTTCATTTCTTCCTTCCTCAGAAGAGACAATAAGAGACCTAGCGATGTCTGTATGGAAAAAAATTGTTTAATTTTACCAGAATATTTATGAGAACACTCATAGATAGAAATAAACAGTGCTAGTGCAACTATTTTTCAATATCAGGAGGATTTCTCAATGCTATACAGCAGCTATCAAAGAACATTTAGTCTCCTTGCTGTCAAATACATACCTGCCAAAACCAGCAAGACATGCTGTGCTGTCAGGTTACTTAGGGACTTCCTATCTGGATCAGCATGGGTGTCCCTTTAAACCTGACATCACAGTATGGGTTAGGCATCCCCCCTAGGGTGCACCATGCAAGCAGCAATCAAGCAACATTGATGCATTTACAGATATAATTAAAGTGGTATGCATCATACCTATTTGTATGTACACCCATACAAACAAGTACAGCAGAACAGCGCTAAGACCTTGACTTAAACACCAAGAGAAAAAAGCAGAATGCCAGAATGGATTGGAAAAACACAAAATAAACCCTAACAAACCACAATATTTTCAGCATACTGACCGTACTTCTGATGCAGTTAGTTTATCTCTTTAAACTCTTTTGCCTAATACACCAAGAGATTACCTCCCCCTTACCAGCTTTGTCCTTTGTCATTAGACCCCTAACTTTACAGCACCATTATCATGAAAATCACAGGTCTGTACCCTTGATTTAATATCATTGATTTAAATCTCTGCTTTGAACTCCTCCCTGTCATAATGCGGCATATTAAAACTCCCACAAAATCAGAGAAAAAGAGGATAGAGCACTTGAAGATTTTTCTTTTTCTGGCCTTTAGTGAATTTATACATTTATGCGTTGGACCACTCTAGTTCTAATGGTGGTTTAAAAATGGGAGGAATCAGTGGGTCAAGAACATGCTGTTCTCTGAAGACACCTGACAGTAGAAACATCAGTGAAAAGTGAGAATTTCAGGAAAGGAACAAGGCATCCATGAAAAGAACAACACAAATAAAATGTTTGTAAATTAAATACTGTTGTACTCACTGAGTCAAGTTTGCTCAGTTAAGGCCAACAGTATTTGATGCTGGAAAGGTATGACAGTTCTTAAAAAAGAATAAAAGGGTGAGTGGATAAATGTCTCTAGGCACTCTAGTGGTGAACCTTGATAAGTTTCTCAATTACAGTGCCTTAAATTTCAAAACTTATTGAAAGAGAATAATTTTTGCTGCACTCCAACAACATATATAAAAAAGGAACAGATGATGCCACACCCAATTCTTTCTCATTGTCTATTATAATTGCTAACCTTGCCACAAATGCCATAATACACACAACATAGCACAGCACATACTGTGATTAACTGCAGAGAAGAGATGATCATGTTAAAAAAAAATGACAGCAATTATTGGTATTACTTACCAACCTTTTTAAAATGGTAATAAATTGTGCAAATGAATTTGAGAATGGGGGGCAGAATTGGGCCCGTAATAAAAATAAATATTGCAGAATGGAACACATGCTAATACATATCAGAATGCTTTATACACAGGAGTGTGGCAAAAATTAATGCACTTTTTTGTGTTCCTGGATATTTATGTCAGAAAACTCTACAAATACTTATTTATATTTTAGCTATGTCTGTGAAATGAATAAAGCACAAGAAAGCAATGGACTTAAATCATTTACATATTTATTTCACAAATTAACCATACATCTTAACATTCAGTACACATTGATGACAAATAAACATAATTCATCCCTTTTTAAAGATACTTGTTTTGTAGAAATGATTATTACATGAAACCTGAATTTAAAATTGTGAACTTTTTGATTCCGATGAAAGCACAAAATTTTGAAGCAATAGTCAGGCTGTATCAGTTGCCCCAGAGTGAGTTCATTCAAACCTAAGATTACTCTAGATTTAATAATTGTAGCTTTGGTGAGATTTTGTCTCTCCATAAGCACATGATTGTGCTCCTGGCTAATATATGAAACTTAACCCAAGACATAAACTTATATAAACCACAAACACCATTACACAGGTAGAGATAAAGATGCTTGGCAATATGTTTCAGATGTGAACATGAACTTGGACCTGTTTGGCTTATGGCTTCAAAAACATGTTATGGGCTTGATTCTGCTAAAAATATTCAGCTTTACATGCAAAGTAAACATGTTGCAATTGCTTAGGACCTAAATAAAGGGCCTCTGACCTCTTTGGCTACGGATCTAAAAAGCTCCTCACATCACAGCTGACGTATAACATCAGCAATTTGTGCCAACTTCCCTAAGGACCTCAACTGTCTAATGAATCAATGCTACACATCCACACAAGGAATGGATTAAGGACACATAATGGAGTAATTCTTTCCCGGCACAGTGTTGGGTCAGACAATCATGCTTCTCTTTCCTACCACCATTACCTATGAGAAATCACTATTATATCTGCCTTTTAACATACAAATCCTACATGGGGTCATGACTGAGAAGAAAATGAGGTGAAACATTGGTATTAGCCTTCAGACTAAAGACTTCAGTCATTTTGGCCAGGTATTGGGTGATTAGAACTTGTACTCCTGACTTAAAGTTTATATCAGGCAACATAACTGGGTAAAGTGAATCTTTTGATCAACAATTACTATCTCAGGTGAGTGATGGGATAGTCTTAAAAGGTTATTGATTTTTTGGAGGCATGCTGGCCTCACTGTGAGGACACATCAAACTCAGAATTAAGAAATTGCATGAACATAACTGAATGTTCTATGGGAATAGTTCTTTTATGCTTAAAATCACTACACTCCTTAAAGCAATTTGCAAGGCAACTGACAATGATTTGTGAATAACGGGAAGAACCTCATTAACAGGTAAACAAAGTAAAAATAACTTTTACTTAGGGTTCTTGAACTCAAGATCTCACCTTGACATATAAGCAACTGGAAAACTGGCACATGCATTAGAGAGTTATTTTATTTCTGATAAATATTAATTAATAACTTTCATAATTTTAGGAGATTTTCTTAATCCATTTATCATTGTTTATGTAAGATAGATTTAGTTCTGATTTAATTACGTCAGCTACTGCTGATTCCTCCTTCTGAATACTAGCATTATTTTAAATACAAAAATATATATTCACATTGAAAACATTAATGTAAAAATCTCTTCTGCTGAGAAAATGCCACAGATAACTATTGAATGTATTCTATTTATTTCTGGTCAGCTTGACACATAGCACACTTAGCTGTTATTAATTTTTAAAAAAAAAAAAAGGAAAAAAGGAATATGTAGAGATGTAGTTCTAATGTAAAACAAGAAAACTGCATAAAAATATCTTACTTTTTTACTACCATGTATTTTTTATAAATGACACCAGAATACAGGGACAACCAAAATTATTTCAATGAATTTACAGTAACATTATTGATTTATCATTATGCTCCCTCTCCTTTCCCTTTAACTTCTAAAGATACAGTACAAAATATGCTTTCATGTTTATTACTTGGTAATAGAGAAAAAAATCCTGTCCAGTCTCTCTCTCTTTCACTTTTCTTCCCATTGTGCTGCTTTTCTTTGCAACACATAGTTCTGTTGACTTTAAAAAAAAGTCATTTCATTCCATGAGACAGTAGAATGAGGCCCATGGATGTAAGAATTTTGCAGTGATAGAAACTGTAAACACAGGATTTGAATCAATGACACTCGCATGTTCTGACACAACATTGTGAGAAGAGGGAATACCAGTTTAAGGAGTTCTTTCACAGAACTATACCCAAACTAAACAGTAAGCATAAGTTAGTATTCCATACCTCTAGGTTACAAGAAAAAGGTGGTGTCTACATTTTCAGATGTTTTCTAGCCTACATAAAATGGTAGTGATTGCACTGTTACAGACATGCAGGTATATGTACATTATGTGAAAAAAAATTAGTCCTACATAAATGAGGGTCAATTAAAATACCTTTACAAGAATGAGTAAGGAGCTTGGAAGGAGCCTGAAATACACCTTTGTGCAGAATGTATGCACAAATACTATGCATAGATTAAAACTCACTTAAAGTCCCCAAAGAAAGCAAGTTTAAGTGAGAAAGAAATATGCCCACAGAATGGTTTTCATCCCTAAAGAGATGAAAAACAATGCCCCTAAAATGAGTGCTGCATTTTTACCTGCACTGAACAACACCATAAGAACATTTAGTATTTCAAAAGAGACTCTGAAATAAATTATGGAAATTTAGTATAATGTTAACACAGCACAAGTCTCAGCAGTTCCTGCCCTGTTAATAGCTATACATTTGTACTGCCCACTGTCACTTTGCATCAGGTTTTCAATAGTAAGGCTATGAGAGCCATCCTGCTCTTCTTGTGCACAGTACCTTTCCCCTTCCAACAACACCCCATCCTTGTACCAGCAGACACTTGGGTGGGGGGAACCAGTCACAAGACACTGGAAGCATGCTGAGGCACCTACAAATGTACTGTAGTCAGAAATGAGCCTCACAAATCTGGGAGGAGCTTCGGTGACCTGGAACTCAAAGCTGCAGCTCTCCGAATCCTCTGCCCTAAATTCAACCCGTTCCTCTTGGGATGGCTCTGCAAACACATCAAAACTAATGTTGACACACTTCTCCCCTTCCACCTCCTGCTCTTGTTGAGCCACTGCAAGCAGTTGGATTGCTTTTTCTGAGTCATCTCTGTGCGGCTCAAACTCAAACTCCAGCTCTATTTCTGACTGGTCACCTGGGCTCACGGTCTTACTCAGAAGCAAGTCACACTTCTGTGGCCTGTATGGTTCACAGCCCATGACTGTCTCACCACTTGTCTTAGCATTTGCTCCCTGCTGAGCCATGACCACAAGGGAGCCTTTGCACATTGCTTCTCCCAGCCTATTTGTTGCCTGACAGTGATACCAACCACCATCAGAAGGACCTACAGTTTGGATCTTCAGACTGTGAAGTCCCTCCTTCTGACTCACAACATACTTTCCTGTGGCAGGTGTCACACAGGTGTTGCCTCTGAACCACTGAACTACTGGGACAGGAGTACCTGTTACCACACACTCAAAGACTGCCTCCAAACCTTCTGTCACCGTGATATCTGCAATGGGCACTGCAAAGCGTGGAGGCATTTCAGTTATTTGGAAGTCAATTTTTACATCCTCATTCTCCTCTGCAGCCAAGCCTGCTTGTTCTAACAAGGCAAGTGGAAGGACATCTAGGGAAACCACCATGGTCTTCTTATCTGGGCTAAACTCAGGACTGGTTATGATTTTAACTTGCTTCTCAAACTCCTTCACCTCATTTTCATCCAGTTCCACTTCCAGGAGGATTTCCTGTGGTGAAGGTGACCTTGAAGATGTATTTTGCTCCAGGTCAAAGTGTATAACATGCTGGTGGGTGACAGGGGGTGGCAGTGCTAGTGACTGCCCATTTTCAGGCAAAACTTCCACTTGCGCAATACTTTTAGCTTCCCCAACAATGTTCACTGCATGGCACAGATACTGTCCTGCATCAGCTTGTCGGACATTAGTGATCTCCAGAATGTATTTGTCTCCATCCTTCTCTACTCGCACTCTCTCATCAAGCTCCAATAGGGACTTATTATGATACCACTTCACCCCTGGCTTGGGCACACCCACCACCTCAGCCACAAATCTCAGTGTGCTGCCCTCACACAACCTCCTCCTGCTCAATGCCTTGAGGAATGCAGGTGGGATCTCCCTGCCTGATGGCTCCAGGGCTTCACAGGGCATCCTAAACACATCAGCCTGGGGCTGGTCTGGAGGCTGATGCCTCCTCTCACTAAGGGGGAGCATGGTCAGCGCATCCATATACTCCCCAGTGGGTGTCCAGTAGTGCTCTGGTGGTGTGGTGTCCCCTGATGCAGAGTAGGGTCCCTCAAAGAGTGTGAAGTAGCACTCTGCAGGTGTGTTGCATTTTGAACCCTTGGAGGGTGTGTAGTACTGTTCAGGAGCCATGCTGTATACTGAGCCTTCAGATGGTATGGTGTAGCATTCAGGTGGCATGCTGTACTCTGAGCCTTCAGATGGTGTTGAGTAGCATTCAGGTGGTGTTCTGTACCCTGAGCCTTCAGATGGTGTTGAGTAGCGTTCAGGTGGCGTGCTGTACCCTGAGCCCTCAGATGGTGTGGAGTAGCACTCAGGTGTGCTGAGTGGTGTGTGGTAAGATGCTGAGGAAGCAGTTTCAAAGATTTCCACTGAGGAGGGAGGTGTGTAGAAGCGGTCTGAATCAGGTGACTCCTCTCTGCTCCCAGTCTCCAGCTCTATAGACATTTCTGACTCAGGAGAGAAGGGCCGGGCAAGTTCCTGATGGTTGTTGTAATAGTCATAAACCATGCTGAAGGTAACCTCCTCCACTTCCAGTGAAGTGATGGTCTCTTCCTGCTCTTTCTGAACTGTCCCTTTGAGATCTGGAGTTTCGTGCATACCAGTGGACCTTAAATAATTGGCCAGGGACAAATCAGGATCCAGCTCTGAGACTTGAACAGCACTGGACTCTGGACCTGCAGAAATATTCTCCCACAGTCCTTCTCCATCCAGACTATTCTCTGAGGCTTCCTCAATGAGAGTCCTCTTCTTGCCCAAAGACTCCTTGCTTTGCTCTTTCTGTGTCATGGGATCATCCATTACTGAACCAAGTAGGAGTTGCCCAAAAGAGAAGTCCTTGGTTATGTTTGGTTCCTGCTGGGTGTCCTCGAGCATCTCCTCAGGGGAATCTGTGCTTTCTATCTCACAGGTGAAGTTGCTCATTCCTGTCTCAAAGACCTTTTCCATCCCAGAACCACTATCTTCCTCAGCCTGATTCCCACCCTGGGATTTCTTTTCATGCGCAGCTTTTTTCAAGTCCATGATGAAGCTATCACTCTGGGAGTCTGTGGTCTCTGGTTGTTCCCCACTCTCCCAAACCTGTGTTTCCTGCACTCCTCTTTGGAAATCTGCTGTGGTCTCCACCAAAAAACTATGAATTTGTTCCTTAAGTGAGTCCTCCCCGCAGACACTCATCTCTGAATCATGTATTAATTCAACAGAAGGTCTCTCTTCAGCAGATAACATGACACTGCCAAGGTCCCCATTAGGGATTTGCAAATCTGCCCTTCTGATTTCTATTAGCTGTGCCTCTTCTCGGGCATTGACCTCCTCCTGCTGCATCCTGTAGCTCTTACGCAGCTCCTCACTCACGGACACCTCTTCCACAAGCACATCATGTTGGTGCACTGGAGAGATGAGCCCAGTCACTCTCACCTCCACGCTCTCCAGAGCTGTGGGAGTCTGTGCCTGTTCTGTATACACAGCCTCTGCAGCTGGGAAAGGCTCCACAAACTTCTTCAGGTCAAATGTGATACTGGTCTCATCAGTCTCAGATGGCAATAACTGCTCTCTGAAATGCACTTCTTCCAGGTGAACCTCAGCTCCCTCAGTGAAAACCTGACCGGAGTTTTCTATGCCAGAAGGAGTGAGGATTAGATCCAAAGAAGAGCAGCCTGCATCAGACTCCATTTCTTGCAGCATTTGTCTATCATTTTTCTTTTTCCAGTGTGTGGTGTCACCAGCATCAATAATTTCTTCTTTACAAAGCTGATCATCAACCTCAATGTCCTGTTCAACATCAGCTAATCCCTCTTGCCCCTTTTCCTGTTCCTCCTGCTCTTCTGCTGGAGAGAAGTCATAAAAGCCAAACTGCTGTTTTGTGGGTGTGCTTGCAATGTGGTCCTGCAGGTGGGGCAAACTTGGCTCGTCTGCAAGAGGAACATCAGGAGTTATTGCTGCCCAGACAGGGGCATCACTCTCCTCTATGTGAACATCACTTCTCTCTTGCACCACAGGTGATACAGGAACAAAAACCTGTGAATCCTCACACTTCCTTGAGAGAGTAGACTGCTCAGAGGCATGTATTTTCCCTTGCACTTCTATAAATGATGACTTCAAGATGCCCCAGGACAGAGTTTCTGTATGTGGTAGCACCTTGTGCTCTTCAGGCTCCAGATCCTCTGAAAAGTGACCTGAGTCCTTTGCCACCAGTTCATGCCCTTCCCTGGATATGCTAAGGTGCAGCTCAGTGGTATCTGTTCCAAAGTTGTTTTCCTCAGAGACAGCTTTCCCCCTGTACTGCCTCATCTCAGAAATACCATCCTTATTCCTCACACTTTCATCTGTATAATCCATTTCTTGCCTTGCATAAACTTCTGTGATATCCAGAACCATTGTTTCCTCCATCTCACTTTCCCCGAAGTGAGTTTTCTCACAGTCTTCTAGCTGCTCACCAGGAGATGGAGACAGCCTCAGGAACCAAGGTAGGTGGGCTTCCTCCTCCTTGGGGCATGTAATCTGCTCCTTTTCACCTTTCCTTGGTATGCTGAGGCCTTGGAGGTGAAGAACATGGTCCATGGCAGGCAGTTCCTCAGATTCTCCATCCTTGCTATACAACCTGGGTGCTCTGGGCTGCACTGTCAGCTCAGAGGCAGTCTGTGCTGTTCCAGCCACATTTGTGGCCACACAACAATACTGCCCAGCATCTGCAACAGAGACACCTTGAATGTGTAAGCGGTGCATTCCATTCTTGCCTTCTTCAAACCTCAGCCTCTCACTGGCAGAGAGGCTCTGGCCATTCAGGGACCAGGCCACACCTGGTGGGGGTTGCCCAGACACAGCACACTCCAACACCACTTCTTCTCCTTCATTGCAATGAATGTGTGCTGGAACTCCTACCACAATTTGGGGTGGCTCATTTCCCATATCAAATGAAAACTTGAATTTGTGCTTTATGGTGGGGGCAGCCTGGTCTGGAGAGAGTTGTGTGGTCTCCCTCATCTCTGTGTCTTGCTCTGGTGTTGGAGTTGGGGCAGTGATTTTGATTTCTACAGGCAGCGACAGCAAATCTGAGTCTGGAACCACACTTGGCAGTCCCTGCTGTGCTGCAAAGGCCAGACCAACTTCTTCTTCCTCCTCCTCCTTCACCTTCTCCTTCTTCTCTTTCTCCCTTTCTTCCTCCTTCACCTTCTCCTCTTCTACCTCCTCTTTTTTCCCTTCCTCTTCCTTCTTTGTGTAGTAATAGGCTGGCATTCGCTTCCTCACATGGAGTGCAGCTGAGGTGCTGACTGTGCCCAATGAGTTGAAGATCACACAGGTGACAGTGCCACCATGCTGTGGGAGCAGGGATGGGAAGGTCAGTGTAGAGCGACACTCTGTGGTGTGAACGGCAGTGCCCTGGATGCGCCCCACGGGCTTAGCATTGTTGTACCAAGTGACTGTGGGCTGTGGGTGGCCATGGAAAAGGCAGGAGAAGGTGCATCTTTGCCCTTCAACAGCTTCCTGGGGCTTGACCTCCTGGACAAAGAGGGGTGGGCAGGGCTCCAAGAACCCACCTGGCATCTGGCATCTCTCTCTCACAGCCTTGGGCCTGAAGTACCCCTTCACTACCTGCACCGTGAAGGGCTCTGAGCCATCCATCGTGGCAGCCACCTTAGGTGGGCTGGGCTTCTCTGGAGAGCCCTCCTGGGACATGGACATGAGGGAATCCTGCTTCTTTTTCAGTGCTGCCCTCTTTGCCTCCCGCAGCCTTTGCAGCTTCCAACGGATCTCCTCATCCAGTAACTCCTCAGCATCAACCACTCTGCCACTACGCTCCCTACCACATGCCAGCTCTGGATGGCGAGACCCCACCAGTGGCAGACTCTGGAAACGGATGGTTCGCACCATGCCCCGGGCTGGTGAGCGGTCCCCAGGGAACAGCTCAGCCTCCTGGCCCTTGTCAAAGGGTGAGCCAGTGCAGCGGAGCACTACCCGCAGACGGTCCTCCTGCCGCTGCTGCAGCAGGCACTCCCAGCTCTGCTGCATCCACTCTGCTTTCCCCGTGAAACCTAAGCCCTGCTGCTCCCTACTGCGTGCCACCAGCAGTGAGGCAGTGGACTCAGCTGAGCCCTCGCTGTTAATGGCAAATACCCTGTAACTGCCAGCATCATGCTCCCTCACATCCCACACCTCCAGGCGGGAATGGTGTGTGTGCTCCTCACTCTCAGTGCGAATCACTTTGCGGCAGTCCTGGAGGACCGGACGGTTGTTGTGAAACCAGGACATTTGGGGTGCCGGGCATGCCACCAGCTTGCACTGGAAGAATGCAGGGTCCCCCTCCAACACAGACCTACATTTCAGGCCCTGTGTGAAGGTGGGTTTATGGTTCTTGGGGCAGGCCAGCACCGCCACTGTGCCGGATCCCTCGAGGTTCGCCTTGCTGGGCTGCTCTGCAAGAGAAGGAGACTGGGTTACAACATGCCACACATTGTCTACCATCTGATTGTAAAAAAATAGCAATATATTGAAATAAAAGATGGGCATGCAAGAGATTTCATCACACACCCAGGAAAAAAAAGTAATTCACTCACCATATTTGTTCGAATAAACGCAACGCCTTGCTCTGTTTTAAAGATTGACACGAAAATCGTTCGTTGTCTGTTCTTTCTTCAGACTGTGGAAATTTCTTCTTGAACAAGCAAAAATGAATTTCAAAATAACATGTTCTTCTGCGTGTATGTTTTTGCTGCCTGGAAAAGCTGTGTGTCTTTGGGTGGCAAAGAAGAAAATCTTACCTGACTTGCAGACAGTAGAATAAACGCCCTTTCTGACCCCTCTATTTGCAGATTAAATGTTCAAACAATTGAGAAAAATATTTTGAAATATATATTTTTTTAAAAGTAAGTAACATGAAATGAGAAGGCGTTTATTCGAACTAATACAGCCACTAACTCCACAGTGTTATGCACAGGGAAAAAAGCAAGCAACATGAACCACATATGCTATCTGCAAGCCAAGGTAAGAGATGTATAATGATGAATTAATGTATGTAATAAAAAAGTGCAAGGAATCAATGGGAATGTGTAGCTTTCACATAACTAAACAAGAAATGATTTCTAGTATACTTCATCTGTCCATCCAATAGTGTCCACTGAACTGATTAATGTTAGGCTGATAACTTGTTTTAAAATAATATGATTAAGATTTGTATAACTTCCTTCTGAAGTATATTCCATGCATTCAAAAGGAAATTGAATAGATAAAAGCTCTGTGAACAACTGCAAAGCATGAAGTAAAAGTTAAGAATATTGCTGCACAATTATAAATTTGAAGTTTTAAACATATTTTAAAACTTAAATAACCTTATAATGCAGGTAACCCTTTGCATATCAAAACAAACATGCAACATGTTCCAATATGCTTTAAAGTGTGTCTTTCTTTCCCCATCAGACACTTCATGTCAGCAAATATAAGCTCTTCACAACATTACTAATTACTGGTACTAATTATTCTCATTTGGTGACTGTACCTTTCACTTCCATTTCAACCTCTTCCTCTAGCTTCTCATGAATAATTTTTTCAGGAGCTAGAATAAAAAAGACAAAGATTTTTTGAGTTATAGTTGCTAAATGTGCCAATCAACACTTTATGCAGTAAAAACATCCAATCTCTTGCAAATATAGAGAAATTCACACATACATACACATAAATGCATGCCAAACAATTCAAACACTTGATACACTTTGAGAGCAGAGTAATCAAATATTTTCAAACTTGTTTGCAATGTACATTTTTCTGTAAGATTTGCTTTCTTTTTTGCAGGGTGGGGGAAAGTTTCTAATGCAACATGCCTTTATCATGCCGTAAATCCCTGAAGAAAACATTCAACAATCTACAGACTAACAAGATGCTTCTCGTTCTTTATCATCTTCCAGGGAATGAATGTACTACAATGCAATGATGCTATGCATGAGGAATTGATACTTGGAAGGAACATGCAGTTGCCAACCTGTCACTTTCAGATGGGTGCTGCACTCGGCTTGTCCTGCAGGATTAACTATTCTGCACTTGTATATACCCTTGTGGTTCTGACCAACTTTCAATAATCTTAAACTGCACAGTGGCCCATCATGTTTTAAGGAACACAATGCAGACTCCTCAACTATTAGCTGATTGCACAGCCAGACTACGCAAGGTGTAGGCACACCTTTCATTATACAAAAGAGAAACACATCATCTCCTTCTTTTACAGTGGTTTCTGAAGGCAGAGTTTCAAGAAACTCTGGTGCTTCGGCGTCAGTTTTTGTGATGTCTTCACATGGCACAACATCAGGATAATATACTCTGTGTCTTTGCTTCTCAGTTTCATATGGCCTTTGGGATGTAGATATAAACAAACTTGAGGTTTTCTTGGAAGATTCTTGCTTAACATCAGATGCTTTAAACTGACAATCTTTGGCTGCTTTACAGCTTTTAGTATTTGATTCAAGGGTAATTTTTGTTACTGCTTTGGCTTGTGCTTCTTTTGCTAGGCAAGAATAAAGTTAGGAAAAGAATTAGGTCAGATGTTTTACAGGAATAAAAAATATCCTTATATTTAGGGGAAAAAACCCCAGTAATTAGTACTGAAAGAATGTCCAGTGTATTAGTGCTAAAACAATACTATTAAACATGAGTGATTCCACATTTAAGAGCTCTATTCCTGCTAGGCTAATTCTAGGTACGAGTTAAGCCTATGGGACATTCATGGGAGCAAGACTTGGTCCACAATGCCTGATACAAACACATCTTTGCTTTTAATTTAGAGTCTTAATTTGGAAAGTAGCAGCCAAATATTATGTAAAGTGCTTTGCACAGATGAAGAGTGAAGAAAGAAATTTTGATAACTAAGATCCAAATCAACAGGGTCAATGTCTTTCTCATTGTTCATCTTAGTTTTCTATTCTTGATTCCACTGAGCAGATTCCAGAAATACTATCACCTGTCTAGTGTGGTGATAATACCCTTTTGGGTCTTCACTACTAACATTCTAATAAGTTGATGCTAGAAAGAGGTGGAAGGAGTCAGCAAAAAAATAAATACTTGTCTCCTAGGGACAGTGAAGTGTAGAAAAAATATTCAGTACTAACAATACTTGTACCCATTAACCCTTTCAAGTAAATTGACTTACATTGCCAACTTTGGAATTGGAACCTTATATTTGAAATAAGCTGGAGTTTGAACTGATCAGGTATCTAATTCAACATTGCTTATCTGACATTCTTATCTTCATTACACTCCAGCTTCAGGAATTATCAAAACATACAAATTCCTATCAGCCTGGTTTGCTTTGCATCTCATTGTATGTCCTGAAGGATATGAGGAATAAAATGCCTCAGAGCTCTGTGACTTGATGGGAAGAGGCATCATGTTACAATACTGACTTCCCAATACTGCATATGTCACTTATGAATAGAGCTGTAAATGTGGAGGAAAAAACCCAGAACATTATGACTAGAGCTTTCTCAATTAAAAACTGATAATAAATGAAATGTGATTGATCTGTATTGATTGTTAAAATGAAGTAGCAAAAGCTAAGTGATAATGTTAAAAGTCAGATAACCACCTTTGACTGTTAGTATTGCAGATGTTGTTGTCCCTCCATAGTCATTATACACAGTACAACTGTATAGTCCTTGATCTGTCAGCTGGGCATTTAGGATTGTGAGCAGAAGAACACTTCCGTTTTGTGATATCTTCAATTTCTCAGACACTTCTATCCTTTCACCTTCGTGGGCCCAAAGAAACTCATAGAAGAATTCATTTTCTAAGGCACATACAAACTGAGCAGTGTCACCACATTTCACAGTTAGGTCTCTAAGTTGCAAGAGGATCTTTGGAGGGACACCTTTCATGTCCTTAGAGGTGATCATAGAGATCTTGGTGCTCTGAGATGTTTGAGAAAGGACTGCTGTATGCATAGCTTTCATTTCTTCAACTGAGGTAGCCTTCATAGTCAAACTTTCTGATACGCTTTCAAAAACCTGTACACCAAATTCCTGTGATGGTTGTTGCACTGATTTAAATTCTTTTTGATAAGTTTTAATGTTCTTCTTTGTGAGAGGAGCAACATGAAGTTTTGATATAGCCTGCGACCGGGTAAACTCTTTTACATCTTTCCCAGAACTTTGCCTATCTAGGGCTTGCACTGTGTAATCAAGTAACAAAAATAACAACATTAGTACCTAAAGAAATTTACTGGGCCATGCTCTGCACAAAATCAAACAGCATGGAGGATGAAAATGAATGATCTTGATTTGAAAACTCAGCATGCTAGATGCACTACTCTCTTGACACAGAAATTACCCATTCACATATATGAATGACAAGTGATGCCTAAGGTAGTCATGCAGTTGGTACTCAGTTGATGCTTGTCTCTTCTTTCACTAAAGTTGTCTGGTTTTGTATTAAAAACTTTTAAAGGAGGTATTGTTTCCCCCTACAGGATAATGAAAGATACCTCAGTGAATGCTCCAAAGATCACTTAATTACTTACTTTAAAAATCCAAATGCCTTCATTAAAATTATTCTGTTCTTTGACCTACAAATCTGCAAATTTCCACATTACAGCTTAAACATAAGAAATGAGAGTGTCTGGGTTACAGAGGGTAGGTACGACTAACATTAGCTGAGAAAGAAAGGTGTGAAACAAGGAAAGAACATTAGTAACAGAATAAAAGTGTGGTAATCAACAAACTGAATCCCCTTGAAGTAAAAATGGGGCTTTACCTTCTGTAGTCACTGTAAGTGTAGCTGTACAAGTTGTTTCTCCAGCACTATTTCTTGCCTTGCAAGAGTATTGGCCAGCATGCTCTAAGAAAGCATCTACTATTATCAGTATAGCTGTGCCTGTAGACTCATCAAAGTGGAAAACTAAGTCTTTTTTTGGCAACATGAGTTGTTGATTATGAAACCACTGGATTTTTGGTTTGGGCCTGCCAGAGACTCTAGCTTGAAATCTGACTGATTCCCCGCTGCATACCCTGCAGCTTGAAATAGGCTGGATAAAGGTGGGCCTTTGGCCAATAGACTCCTCCTTAAGTGAAACAGATGAAGAAACATGCCAAGGGGACTCTGATGTAACTTCTTCAACATTTTTAAATCCTGAAAAGAAGCATGCCAACTTTTAATTTCTTACCCTACACTACAATAGATTTTCTCTCTCATTCATGACTTTTTTTTTCTAACTTGCAACTTAATAGCATGAATTACTCTCATTCATCATTTATAAAATCTGTTGCAAAAAGAAAACAAATATTTATGGTTAAATAATATCAAGGACAATACAGAACAGCAAATTTTTCAGACAATATTTCTGCTCTAAAATTTTGGTCTATATTTCATCAATTCATATGAAGGAAACGATTTCTTTTCAGTTGCCTGAGTACCTGCTATACACCTCTATTTAAGATGCTTTTCAACACTTTCAAAACAATTTATTTTATACAAAAACTCTTACTAGATTCTCTTCACAGTCAAATCAAAGAATGTGTAAGCAAAGCACTTCCATTAGAAAGAAGGTTTTTTACATCTTTGGTGCATGGCAGGTTCTAAGACTGGAGAAAATGAAAAGGTAAGGGACATGGAAAAATCGTGAAATACATTTTGCTGTTCATCGCCTATATTTTGGAGACATAAATGTGTGCTGTGGACATTGTAAGCAGTAGCAATTAATTGAGTTAAAAGACAACATGACAGACAATGACACACATATAATTATCAGTGTATATTAACATGAGTATTGAAACATGACCTAAACATGACAACTTTAATTGCACAGTGTACCTTCTAACTTCAAGGTAGCAGTGCTTGTCACTTGGCCTACAGAATTACTGGCCACAAAGGTATAGATTCCTTCATCCTCTGGATAAGCTTCAGCAATCTCTAGCTGGTAAGTATCTTCAAACTGAGTCATTCTGAAGAAACGTGATGGCTTGATCTCCTTCTCTTTGCTGTACCAAGAGACTTTCAGATCTGCTCAAGCAAAATAAAGAAGAAAAAAATGTGTAAATTATGATATTAGACTAGTAAGTAAACAATATGTTTATATTTATATCTGTCAGAAATAATCTCATGTAAGTTTAAATATGCCTCATATTACTCTGGTAAAGGATGATGAGTAGAAAGTGGCTTACTTGTTGCTTTAAGTTTTGTGCATTGGAAATATTTGTATGGGAAAACTGATTCTGGTGCTGCTATATTTGTGAGTAAAAATAATTCTTCTTTCCTCTCTTAATGCAAAAATATTTTGCTACTACTAAAAACAGAGACAGTCTCTTTAAAAATGAGATTTTACTGCAATTGCCTGATTAAACTGGCTATAAAATTACTAGCTTGAACTAGTCAGGTTAAAAAATTAAGCCAGAATATTCTTTCGTAAAGTGCAGTATCTTGCCTCTTTTTGTTGCAAATATAAGTTTTACACACGATATTTCTCAGGAAAGATCCTATGTTTGTACTTTTGCAAAATTCCTATATAAAATGTTGTATTATTTGACTTGTATAGATTTTTGTAGACTTAGGAAAGAACGTCTGAAGCAGATTTTAACCTTGCCTCTCCACCTGTCGCTATACTACATCATGAATCAAATGCTGTCACACAGTCTGCTATTATTGTCATAATAAGACAGAGTGTTTTCAATGGCCAGCTGCACAATGTGTACCATTAAACAACTGTATTTGCAGTCATGTGTTACCTAACTTAATATAAAAGGTTTTCAGAACACAAGTGAGGTATGAAAATCCATTTGGATACGGTATTCAATAAAGGAAATTTTCAATCAGAAAAATTTCTTCACTGAAAGGGCTATCAAGCATAAGACTGGCACTTAGGGACATGGTGTAGTTGTGGACTTGGCAGTTCTGGGTTAACAGCTGGACTTGATGATCTTCAAGGGTCTGGAACACAAGTTCTGAGAGGCTGAGAAAACTGGGGTTATTTAGCCTGGAGAAGAGGAGGCTCAGAGGTTACCTTATCACTCTCTGCAACTACCTAAAAGAAGATTGAAGCCAGGTGGGGCTCAGTCCTTCTCCTATTCAGCTAGTGACTGGATGGGTGGCCATAGTCTCAAGCTGCACCACGGGAGGTTTAGATTAGACATTAAGAAGAATTTCTTCACACACAGGATGATTAGACACTGGAGTGGACTGCCCAGGGAGGTGGTGGAATCACCATCTCTGGATGCATTTAAAGAGAGACTGGATATGGCTCTTTGTGCCATGGTTAACGTGTTGGTGTTAGGTCATAAGTTGGTCTTGATGATCTCAGAGGTCTTTTCCACCCTGATTGATTCTGTGATTCAAGGTCTTTTACAACCTAAAAGATTCTATGATTCTACGAAGAGGGACCTAGATGCAAGGTTCCTTATATTCTGTGCTGTAAATGCAGCTTCCTCATTCACATAAATACAGTTCTTGTAAAAAAATATTACACCAGCATGCATTGCACAGAGGGTGGGCCAGTCTTCTCTACATACATTTACTGAGTTTTAGCACTACTTCTAAAGCAGAATCAGATTTGCTGGAAAGCTTCTTTTTTTTTTTTACAAAAAACATGGAGTTTGATATTAAGTGATGGAAATGCAAATTATATATATTTGCATATAGATGTATATCACCAATTTTATGTGGATTTTTACAAAGTTGTCACTCAGGATTATTTTTAAGTTTGGCTTTTTATTTATCCTTATATAATTTTAAATTCTTTGGGATTTGAACTAGATCTTATTCTGCATACTCAAGGCAATTTACTGAACTGAAGAAAAGTAGTTTTATTTGGCTTTGTGTAAACTTGGAAAAAATATTTAACTGTAGAATGACATCTATGTAAGTAACACTAGCAGACTTATTTAAGTAAAATCTACACTTAAAAAACAGTGAGCAAACACCTTATGCTAGAAAAAGAATGCAATCACCATTTAGTGTTTGTAGAGTGGTATGAGATACTTAGGAATATCAACATAAAGGTAGAGTCACAGTTTTAGTCTCTTTGTTTAGTTAATTGACATGACAGTGTGTGTCATCTGAAACTTCATGTTCATTTGACATGATAATGATTTTCCACCATGAATCTCTACACTTTACTCACTGACAGTTTTCCAACATCAGTTAACACTTGAAAAGCTGAGAAGTTTCCAAAGACAAATTTTGTGAAACAGATCTTCATTTTAGAAATCCTTCACATGTTTACAACAGCTTAAAACTTCCATGCTTGATACCATCTTTGACTTCCTTAACTGAAAGTTGTCACTAACACTTTGCTCTGTGTGTATACCAAACAACTGTACTTCTAGGGTAAGACTGATCTAAGCATATAATTTTGAATATTTTTCTGAGTTGAAGATGAAAAATTATGAGAGATGAAAAGATGCACAGGATTTCATTAAACCCACCTGTCCCTGTTACTCTGCACTGAAAACAAGCAGACTGTCCCTCCGATGTAACAGCATCACGCAGTGGTATTATGACAGCAGGTGGATACACTGGCATTTCTAGCTCAGGAGAAACAACTTCTGGGACTAAAGAATGAGAACAAAGAAGTAATTTCAAAGATGAAGAACAACAATCTCATTTCACAAAAATTGTTATGAGTAAGGTGAAACTCACTTTCCACTGAAAGTGAAGCTGAAGTTGTAGCAACTCCATAGTCATTTTTGGCTTCACAGGTGTACACTGCTGCATCTTCAGGGAAAGCTTCAATCAGCAATAGAGTATATTCTTGGGCATCATGAAGAAATTTGCACTTGAAACCTGGAGAAAGCTGTTGATCATCTTTATACCAGGAAACTTTGGGCTGGGGTTTGCCAGATACCATAGCACAGAAGCGGGCAGGTTTGCCAGACTCCACAGTAGTTGGCTCTAGCTCCTGAATAATCTGGGGTGGCTCTGGAGCTGAAAATTAGTGGGAGAGAAAGGGGGATAAGAGAGGTGAGAAGGATGGAGAGAGAGAAATCTCATTATTGATATTTATTAATGGTTAAAAAATATTTGAAAGTAATTAATTTGGTTTTTTAAAAACAACAAACCCCCTTACTATTCCCAATCTTGTGTGCCCATTAAAATCTGCCCTTTCCTTGATACAGGGGGAGTGATCTAGTAGTAACTGCTTTAATATAATTACTGTGTTGGTGTAAGTGTTTTCTGGCAAAATCTGTCCAAGAAGTGTTAAGTTGATCCCTCTGGGAAGGCACACTTTTCCATAAGAACAGATTCATTTAATGTAGACTTGAGAATTTTCTGGTCTAAACAGGTACCGTGGGGAAAAACGGCTACAGTATTCTCATCAGTTAGCCAGCTATTTCAGTAGAGTGAGAAACATCCATGTACATGAGGAATTTGGTAGTGTTCTGGATGATCTTTTTGGATTTTTTTTTCTTTCAGAGTTAGAATTCTGTGGAAGCTATACAGAAATCAGAAAAACACCAGGTAATAAATACAGTCAAAGCATTGGTTGTGGGGACACATACCATTCACATAAAGAATAACAGAACTCCTATTCCGTCCTGCAACAAAAGTATATTCTCCAGCGTCAGAGTAAGTGGTTTCAAAGATGCTCATTCGATGAAGTCTCCTTTCTGCCACATAACTGTATCTTTCCTCATATTGGAAGTTGATCTCAATACCATCTTTGTACCACTGTGGTTCAATGTCATCTTCATTGACTTCAAATTCAATTTCAGCTCTTTGTCTCTCAATAACCTTTGAAAAAGTAGAATAAATATTAGAAATACTATTTGGTTTTTACTTACGGTCTCACTTCTCAGTTTCCTAGAAGGCCCTGACCTTATGATTATAGATTTTTGTGTTAGAACTCTTGTTGGTTCAATATTGTTGCACTTCCCTTGCATTATTCTTTGAGTGACAAAGTTATGAAATATATATTCTTCTGTATAAGTC